TTTGCGACTCATAGCGACCCTATGTACAACAGCCCTAAACCCTGCTCTATCCTGTGCCAATCGCATTGCCTCTGACACACCCATCCCGATTTTTTTAAAGGGAAAAAAAAGAATCATTGCTTAGTTTATTGTCACAAAAATTTATCTTTATGTTTTCTTCTAGAGTTTATCATTTAGCACTTATATTTATGACCCATAATGAGTTAATTCTTATATACAATATGAGGTCCAAGCTCATTCCTAGTAAAATTTGTTGAAAGACTATTCTTTTCCTCCATTGAATTTTAGATGTCTGGGTTTCTTCCTGGACTTTACATTCTATTCCATTCATCTGCCTGTCTATATTTATGCTCAACTCAATTAATTGCCATTGAGTCAGAATCAGCTCATTGTTGACCCTCCCCTGGGTTTTCAGAGGCTGTCGACTGCATGGGATGAGACTGGCCATCTTTCTCCTGACTTTAGGTTGGGATGAGACTGGCCATCTTTCTCCTGACTTTAGGTTGGCAGCTCAACTGCTTACTCCTCAGGGTTATAAATACAAGATAAAGTCATCTGCATGTAGAGATCATTTTACTTCTTCCCATCCAGTCAGAATGAATGTCTTTCTTTTCTTCTGACTAATTAACCTGATTAGAACCTCCAGGAAAAAAGGCAACTTGGTGGTTCAAAGATTAAGTGCCCAGCAGCTAATTAAAAACCTGGTGGTTCTAACCCGCCTGGAAGTCCCATTGGAGAAAGAACTGGCAATCTGTTTCAGTAACAATTACAACCTGGAAAACCATAAGAGGCAGTTCTATTCTGTCACACAGGTCACTACGAGTTGAAATGGGCTTGATAGCACCTAACAACTATAGTAAGACCTTCAATAGACTATTAATTAAAAATGGTAAAAGAAGACACCTTGTTTTATTTTTTCACCTTTGAAGAAAGAGCATTTAGTCTATCACCATTAAGTACAACGTAAGTTGTAGGTCAGATTTCTGTTGTTTTGTTTTCTTGATGTCCTTTAGCAGGCTGAAGAAGTCCCCTTTTATTTCTAGTTTGTCTAGTGTTTTTATCACAAAAAACAAACATGTGGCTGGAATGGTGTCATTTCAGCTACCACAGAGGTCATGAAATTTAAAGATACCAGTTGGGATAGGATAGGGGAGGGGGAGGGAGATACTCATAGTTTGGTTTATGTCTTTTATAAACATGGTAACATTATATAACACTTTGTACACATGATAGTATTCAGATAGTGAACTATTATTACCATTTTATAGAGATGTAAAGTGACCTAAAGTGGATTAAATTAATTTCTCAAAGTTACATAATTCAAGTAAGTAGCAAAGCTGATATTTGAACTCAGATGCGTTAACTACAGAGCCTAGGTTTTAACTTTCCATGTTAAATTGTTAATTCTCATGCTTATGACCTCACAGGATTTTGGATGCTTTCTATGCACTTGCCATCAAAGATGGAAGTCTGGCAGGTAAGTGTATATTCTTTTTTAGGACACCCTCCCCTCCCCGCTGATTGGTTCCTCCTAAAGAGTCAATGTCAACTCCATGATTCCTCTGTTCTCACTACATCTTAACTGTGCTCCAAATCTCCACATTTGCCATATCATCTGCCTTAAACAGAATCCCATCTCTTCTACTAAAAGTTAAATTTCAAGAACCAGAAAAAATTCTTTCTTCAGGAAATCTCTCCTGTTACTAACCCCTACGGCTACCCATTCCTCGTTTCCCAAAGTCTCCAGCTAATGTGGAATAGGGAACATAAATGCATTTATTCCCTCTGCTCAAGGTAGTTTGTTATTATGCTTTAAAGAAAAAAAAAGATGAAATCATATGCCTTTGGATTTCTAAAGAGAAAGGAGGAGAAACTCAATGGCCAGAGTTCTCTGAGTACAGCAAGAAGTCTTAGAAGACGCATAGAGAAAGACTATCTGAGGAGCTTGTCCTTCAGTCTCCTTTTCTCTACCTGATTAAGTTTCTTCACATTCTTCAGGTTCAGCTAAAATGTTCTCTCTTCCAGAACCACCCAAGCACTGTAGGTCACATTTCCTTCTCCAACAATGTTCTATAATATTGAATGGGGGAGGGGGACAGAAATGTACAACAAAGAACAAAACACAGGCTTTTCACTAACCAATGTTGCATGACTCTGAACAGATAGAAGTGTAAATGTAGGGAGTATGAATGGGTGGATGGGTGGAAGGGATGAATAGGAGGATTGTTTTAATAAATGAGTAAGAGTAGTATATGAGAAAGTGAATGAATGAGAAGGTGAATGGATGGATGGATGGAGAAAGATAAATAGATGGTATGATACATGGTTCCGGTATGGATGGATGCATGGAGAGATGGATGGATGGATGGATGGATGGATGGATGGATG